AGGTTTATTTGCTACAGCAGGGCATTTAGGGTATCTATAGAAACTTTCAGAAGATGGTTCTAAGTGACTATTGATCACCTTTGAATATTTTGGAATCTTGAACTGGAACAACAAGGCATGTAAGGTGTCTTTATAAATTTGATGATTTTATGTCTGTCTTTGAAATAGCAGGATGGCGTTAAGGTTGACTACAGATCTCCTCCCAAAATAATGAAAGTTTGATCGGCAATAGCAGGGCGTTGAGGTGTCTAAAGAAACTTGATGTTTTTTATAGCTTTGAAGTCGCAGGATAACTGTAAATCTCATATTAAAATTTTGGGAGGTTGATCTGCATCAACAGGGCGTTAGAGGAGTCTTCGGAAATTTCATGATTTTTTGAATAACTTTGAAGTAGAAAGATGACTACGCATCACCTATAAATTGATCTACAACAACAGGTCGTTTGAGGTGTCTATCAGGGCCATCTTTACTACCCTTGGGGGCTTGGGTCTGTTTTTATGGTGGGGCCCCCTATTTGTTTTCAATTTCTAAATTCTACCTTCCATGAAATAAAAATAAACCTTCTTCGTATGCACTTTTCTTTCAACCTGATTTTATTCTAACATACATTCAATCTTACTTAACTAAATCCGAAATCGACTTGTCATGCCTTCGAGTTTGTTAACACAAGTGTTGAAGCAAATTTTTTGTAATAAATATTAAATTAGGTTTGGTTCATAGCGTCCCTCAAATGAGGTTTTACTAATTTTAATTTAGAAACTGACTGCTATTCTAAACAGTTGGTGGTCATCATTGCATTAAATATCCTGAGAATAATTCTCACATTTGGGAAAACCGATTTCAGTGCATATGTATGTATGTTATTAATAAGTTTGTACAGCAAATGTTGCCATAATCTTCAACAAACTGTATTAGCTGTTGACATTGACGAAACATATTCACGACTTTCATGATTAATTTGAGTAATCTTATGACAGTTCATCATAAGTGCATCTATTGACTGAGTTAACATTATTAAAATGTGCATTTTTTTCAACGACAGATGAAAAAGTTAAATTCCGTTTTTTTTTAAGTTGCGCCCAAATTAAGACAAAATCGAATAAATCAGCATTACACCTCATCTGCGTCTGGTTTACAATTCAGGCTAACTAACAGCACGCGATGATTTTGTAGTGTTAGTGCATTGGAAAAACTTAATATATTATAATATATTAACAATATGGTCCATTCATACCTTTTCCATACATGGTGACCCGAAAAATATTGCTTTGCGCACCATCTAGCGTTGAAAAAGGTCAGCATCAATCATCTAATTACAATAGAGGGGCGCGAATATAGTACTTATTACAAAAGTCAAATTATTTTCATTAATTACATTTTGTATATGGCATGCACATTTGTCTGACGTGTTACTTTTGTCATCAAATAAAATAATATGCTGAAGTACATTCATTTTAAATATTATACAAATTTTTAATTGGTTTACCCTTCGTGAAGATAAACAAATACATTTTTAGCCTTTTTGGCCACAGAGGCACTTTCATCGCTGAAATTCGGTTCGCCAGTTAAGCGAAAGAGTGAATCATATTGTTAATATAAAATATTTGGCTAAATGCAGATCACAAACTTCACCAACGTAGGTGTTTCAAGAGCTGTAAGAAACCCATTACCAATATCTTATTTTAATTCACTCATTAGGTCTCCTTCCTGGTTGATCGAATCCTAAAGAGTCGCAAACATTTCACATACATTATGATTGATGTCGCTGTATGTACTCAATTTGATATACATTTTTTCTGTATATAACAAAACGAGTATTCAATGCTAAGGCATTGAAAACAAAACTGCAACAACTTATTTCTGAAAAGCAAATGGACAGCAAAATGAAAACAAAATTTATTATACAATTTGTCAATTGCAAAAACTGAAATCAAATTATGATTTCAGTTTGATGTTGCAATCAAAATTCAATTTCGATTTGCTGGACTTTGCTCGGGTTATCTGAACCTATGGAATATGGGAATCTACGGAATAGCTTTGACGAGTGGAAGCTGATACTTGATGTCCGCCGCCATTTATAAAACCAATATGGTTGATTCACATTCAAGATGGCGGTTGGATTTCATGTTGGAGCCGGACATCGATTATCAATTTCTACTCGTTAGCCTATTCCGTAGATACAGTTGGTTCAGATAGGTTCAGATGAGTATGTGCTGCTCGGAGGCCACCATCTTGAAAATAGGTCCACCATTTTGGATGTCCAAAAGGCGGCGTACATCGATTATGAATTTATACTTGTCAACAGCATTCCGTAGATTCCTTAATTGCACACGTTCAGATAAGTATTCATTGTCTGGAGGTCGCCATCTTCATAGTAGGATGGACATATTGGATTTCTACTTCTCAACAGCATTCCGTAGATACCCATATTGCGTAGGTTCAGGTGTGCATTCTTTGCCTGAAGTCCACCATCTTCAATCTGGGTCAGCCATATTGGATTGAAATCCACTATCTTATTTGACATCTTGAATTTCAGAATGTCTCAGATTCCAGAAACTACCTTAACCATATTTCTATTCTTTGGTTATGAAGTTCAACTTTCCGCCATACTCCTCAAAGTGCACAAAGAGAAGAAAAATTGAGGAGAGCATGCAGCCATAACTGGGAGACTTGACTTTTCTCTCCTACAGCTGCTCTATGTGTGACAACGGTACTGGAAACTGTGACTGCGCTTCTTTAGCCGTACGCTGATTAAATCATGACTTGGGGCACGAGATTGTTTTCCCTTGATTTATCTTCCGTCGATCGTGTTGTTTGTACTGAGTACCGACGCCAGGAAGGCAGCTTTCACACCTGCACCTATCGAGCCATCAACACATGGACCGGGGATCAACGGCTTTACTTTCCATCCTAAGGAAGACGCGATCGGAGATTTAATGCCTCAGAAAATCCCGACGGTGCCGATTGGGATTGAACCCAGGCCATTTGGAAGCAACGGACAACACACTGAACCCAGTAGATCAGGTTGCGAAAAGTTCCATTCGCTGGCGTGGGAATCGAACTCTCACTTCGTGGTACTCACAATACGACGACTGACGTCGCTAACCACACGACCACGAAGCCCACCCTTAATCGAACAGGCTTGCATTGCCAGATGGCGCCTCACCTGCGTAATTCTCAACGAGCCCAAGCGATTTGCAAATCTGTCCAAAACACTCACCCTTAGGTCACTAACAAGTCCTCACCCTTAAGTCAATCATCACCGATATCACCCAACAACCACCCATCGTCACCAAGGTATTTAACGTCGCAAACCAACGGTGCATCGTATTTTCAAACACCTTCATATTCAGCCATAGCTCGTACATTCCACGCTTCCCCAATTATTCACCAAATTTGCTTAGCTCTGCTACCCCAAGAAAAGTCCCATGCGTTCTGATGCAGTATGCTCTGCTTCAGAGCGGTTATACAATCTTTCGAGTAATCTTACCCATTTCTTGTAAACTTCAGAGAGGCTATGTATGGTGCAGAGATTTTAATTTCTGGCCTATTCTGCGTGGTGTTGGATGTGAGATGGCTCGCTGTCCTGGTGAAGTAACATGTCACCTCAACCTTAGACATGATATTTGAAGATTACTAGACTTGAACTTCGCAAAATTCGGAGATATTCTCAGAAAATTTTGTGACGTTCGAATATTTTTTCTGAAATTCACACACTAATTCTGAAGTGCGTTGTACTTCTTTGAAGTTTGCAATACTTCCATGAAGATTGCAGAACTACTCCGAAGGAGCTTTAAAGAGTTACTATGCAATTTATGAATGATCTGATAACTTTAAGGGAACATCTCTGATCTTAAAAGGAAGTTCTCTGAAGTTCAGGAGAAATTCTCTGAAGTTCAGGTGAAATTCACTAAAATTCAGGCGGCATTTTCAGAACTTCAAGCAAAATTATCTGAGCTTTAGATGAAATTATCTGAAGTTCAGGTGGAATCCTCAGAGTTACAGGCAAAAATCTCTGAACATCAGGTGAAATGCTCTGAACTTTAAGGGAAGTTCACAGAAGCTCTTAGTCCAACGATCAGTTCACAGAACGCGTAATTTTCGAAAAAAAAAGATCAGAGTACTTAAAAAAATCTCTAAGGTTCAGAGAACTTCCCTTCCAATCAAAGCTCCAGGAAGTTCAACGAAAAGTTCAGAGAACTTTCGACAAGAAGTAATGAGAATTTCCAACTAGAGGTTCAAAGAACTTCTTAAGAGAAGTTAAGAGATCTTCCGACGAGCAGTTCAGAGAACTGCTGATGAGATTTACAGAGATCTTCCGACGAGAAGCTCAGGGAACTTCCGTTGAGAAGTTCCCAGAACTTCATTTAAGTTCTCTGAAGTTCTGACGATAAGTACAGAGAGTATCCGAGGAGAAGTTCAAAGCTTTCGAGAAGAAATTCAGTGAATATGCGAGGAGAAGTTCAGAAAAGTTCCGAGGAGAAGTTCAGAGAAGTTCTGAGAACATCCGACGAAAAAATCAAAGAACTTCCGATGAGAACTACACAAAATTCCCGACGAGAAGTTCAGAAAACTTTCGAGGATAAAATCACAGAATCTCCAACGAGAATTCCTGAGAACTTTCTATTTCCTCTAATACACCGAAATCGCCGTATCAAAGTTATTCCCGAGATTAAAATTGAGGATAATACGGCATGGTACTCAGGATAATTTGAGATTGGCGAATCATCCTCGATGGAGCTATTAGTGCATACAATGCAAATTCCCATTGAAGACGTTAACGCTGACGTTGACGATTAACACCCCTGATTATAACCAAGCAACTGATCTCGATAGAAATCAAAACTATTCGAGTCGCCAGAAACTATCCAAAATTGAAAACGGACTGATTAAGAAATCTCAATGTGGCTCTCGATGCAGAAAAGGTTGGAGACCACTGCTATAACGGATGGGTCGAAGTACCTACATTCGTGCCAAAAGCTGACCGTGAGCATACTTACAATGGAAACAACCTGCAGCAAGGCATAATGGTACGCGATGAGTGTTGCGTATCCGATGATATTCCAGGAAAAATCGTTGATAGCCTCCATATTGTACACCCCTAAAACGGAACACACCCCCCTTTTTAGATCCCTCTTATTTATCACGCAAAACCATCTTGGCAGCTCACCCCCAGTTCGTAGCAGAAAGATCGGTATGATACACATCAGCGCGTGCTGAATCCAGTAGGCAGCCGCCTCCAGCGGCAACTGCCGGCTGTCCGTTTCCGGGAACATGAACGCCAGCAGTGGCCCGTTCAGGTAGTTCATCTGCAACCGGAACAGCGCCGTCGAGCTTTTCTTCGGCTTGTTACACGCTAGAAGATAGATCTGCAAAGACAAAGTTTCAACCATTAGAATCTGTCACGGCTGAAAGCCGATCCCAATATGTACGAACGAACCTGCATCAGCGTGGTGATGTGACAAGGATTTAAAATGTAGATAACAGTCCTAGTTGCAAATTTAAAGCCTATTTCGACGCCCAGCGTCAGTGTCATCATGATGAGCAGCATCTGTTTGGCCCAGCTGGGAGCTTCCCCCTCGACCGTGACCGTGGGATTGTGGGCCGCACTGTTGCACCGATGGCAGCTGCAGTACTCCACCGACGACGATCGGCGGTGGTGCGTTTGGTGCAGTAGCAGCTCCCGGTGATCCGGCTCCAGATGGTGGCCGCTACCTCCGCCGATACGTTGGTAGTGATGCTGCAGGTTGTGATTGCTGCTGCTGGCAAGGTGACTAATACTACTGCTGCGAAAGCCCAAGGAACTACCGTGTGCAGTCGCGGCTGGGGCGGCAATGAAGGGCATGTTCCGACGGAAGGTGATCGGTTTCAGCCGGCCAATGGCCAGTTTGATTGCAATGAAGCATATCGGTACGACGATCACCGATTCCACTAGTTTCCGAGTGGGCGTCAGGTAACTGGCACATTCTGGACCGGTGTTCCGCGGTACGGAAGCATTGACGCCATCGTACGCCCAACCCAGTTGCATGATTGCAGTTGCTGTGGTGCAGCTGGTCGATGGCGTGTGCCGGTTGGATCAATTGTTGAGCAAACGTGGTTAGGGATTTCGTCGTATACTGCGGAATGTGTGGAAATCTGTAAGCCAAAGGGGGGAAAGAATAAAGTTCGTTGTTAGTGGAAATTCTTTCAGGTACAGTGCTAAATTAGATTATCAACCAGTGAGTTTTCATGGCACATTCGTGATGAGCCTTCCGTCTGGGAACCAAACGAACTTTCCGAAGAAAAATGACTAAAGTTTTCAGAGCGGAGAATTTATGTTCGATGGGAGGTAGTCAATTTGCATTTCCCCCCGCTTCGCGTGAGGCTCTAATGCTAGCTGTGGGAATCAAGTGTTCGCGAGGAAAATTGGATTATTATCGATTGATTACTTCAAACTTCTTTTTTTAAGTGGGCGTGTATGTTTGTGTCGTAATGTATTTGTTTGGAGGTTATTTGAGTAAACTGTGGAGCGAGGTGATGGTATTCAATGTTTGCATCGGGACTTAGCTAGTTGCCGTTCTTCAATTGTTCCACTTTAGACCCATTTCCGAATCCAATTTAGCAGACTTACATCCGAATCAAACGAATCATAGGTAACAACCATTACAAAGACGTTTGGGACCGTGTCGTTGTCTATGCATCTTGATCTTGATGGAGATAAATTTATCATTGCCTCGTCGTCATCCTCGTCGTGATGCGGACAAGTGAATAATGGGAATGCATCACGCTCAATCATTCTCTGTTGCTCATACGGCAGCGGCCGTACGCGGTTTAGTCTTGCAGGGTCGCGAATATTTATAAACAGTGCGAAATTGCCTCTTATTCCAACAGTTGCCATGACCATTTGTATTTGAATGTTTACAAACAGTTTTAACTGGGACGCTTTGCTATCGGGGATGATGATTGTGACTATCAGGTCAATTGCAAGTTCATATGAACGACTGTCAGGGTCGTGTACTAAACTGATTAGTAGTGTACGTTGGAAGATGATAGTGGATAGGGATTATTCAACTCTGCAACGTTATTGAATGAAAAGAATAATATTAATAATAAGATTTTGTTTGTATTTGACGCTTCGCGCGTCGTATTATTCCTGGTATGGCAGCGGTTTTTGAAAATGTATTCTTATAACGTAAAGGAATTTAAAGCAAACCAGCTCCCTGATTTATCATAAGATTAAGAAAACTGATCTGTATCAGAATCATGCAAAACATTGAATGATCTTCTTTTATGTAGGTCAATTCGTGCTTCGTCTGAGTTATGTTGTGATCCAAATAAGCAAATATGAAATCAACAAGGATTCGAAACTGATAGGTTCTCTCAAGGATTGTAACTGGCTACTTGCGGAAGTTGCTTTCCACATCCGTCAGAAGATTTTTGCGATTTCGCCTGGAACTGTATTCAACATTTATTTAGAAGTCTTTCTGGATTCCCTGAATTTCGCGGGAAACCAAATCAGATTTTTAAAGGTGATACGTGATTGTTGGTGAATTTCCCGGGAATGGTTTTAATACACGCCTTTACTGCTAAGACTAGAAGGTCCCGAAATAACGTGTTCAACTTTTTGGCTCAGCTCTGGTACTCGCTTCGGTCCCAAGCTAATCGATTCACCCCTCGAAACATAGGAAAATCCACTAACCCCTCATTTTATCTGTCAAACTTTCATAGCGAATCAAAACAAACATTGTGTAGTAGTAGAATTTCAACTAGAATGGGGTGCGAAAATCGTTTGCTTGGGACCAATAGGCTAGTCAAGTAGTGAGCCAATTTAAAATCGTTAGTTTCGTATTGATTGTTGATGGTACTAAGCAAACTTAAAACGCGATTTTCTCGGCTTGCTTATTTTCGCTATGGGACTGACATGCAAAGAGCCGGAGTTTAGGGCGGTACAATCTCATTATCGAAAGTGGTACCGTATACCCGTGACGTTTTATGGCAAAACTATATTTTAGACTTCAACTCAGTAGAGCATAAGAAACTCAAACATAGTAAAAATTTCCTGTCCTAGAAAGTCGTCGTGCACTGTGTAGTTTGAAGTGATTTCTAAAGAGACGTATTTTGACGCGAATTTCCCAAATACGTTCTGAGAAGAGATAATTCTGAGCAGAATTTCAAGGCAATTCTGAATGGCATTTCATGGGAATTCTCAATTTTTAAAAATAATTAGGAAGCTTCAGTAAATTCTTGAAAGAATCAATATAAATTCGTAGAGAATCTAGGGATGAATTTTTATGAAGTTTGTTCCGCAGAGATTTACTGGATTACATAAAATAAATTCTCAAGTGACTTCCAGAGTCAGGCGCAAGCTAATTTCGATCTATCAAAAAGCGGAATCAATTAAATATATTGTAGACCAACAATTGAAAACGTACTATCAAGTTTTATAAACAAAACGTTGATTATTGTTTTCTCGCCAATCGAACGCAAATTACCGGCATCATAGGATAGGTGAAACTTTCCCCAGCCCAAAGATGGTGTTAGTTTACGTAGGCGTGCATTAAGTCACGATGGTTTCGGAAGTTTTGTTCGCAATAGCTGATGTGCTCTTTTCTGTTGTTGGTCGTGATTTGCTCGATTGGTTCCGCTATTTGACAGCTCAATTGGTTCCCGAGATTCTGCCCGCCAGACTATGAATATAGCGACTATAAAGCTACCATCATCTTTTGTCGAACTGTCCTGCGAGCTTAGCGAGAAATTCGTTTATATTGCCGTGGTAAATCAAAGAGAAGAGAAAGTCGATGAAGAGAATCGATCAACGAAGATATGCCCTTTTCAAATGTTACGCGAGAATGCATATTTAAATTCGAAAAAATGTGGCATCACTGCCTTAACCACCCTCATTAGCTATGCCAACGGGGCTGATCTTTCAGATAGTTTCCAGATTTATTTCACGATGTACCAGTTCTAATAGCGATTGTAAGAATGAGGGTGAGGTATAGACCAAAATTTAAGGGGTTACGCCTACCTGCAAACTTTCAAAAAATCGATTTTTTTTTATTGTCCTAATCGAAAGTATATAAAGTCAAGAATATTTCCTCAAAAGATCAAGTTGATCCGATGAAAATTGTGAAAGTTATGCGACGTACAAAAATATTCACTTATAGTGGACTAAGCCCAACTTGAAACTTTAAACGCGATTATCTCGGAATCATATTTTCAAAAGCGGTGCCAAAAATTTCTCGAAATGTATACATTCGATTCGTCCGATTCGTTTTGATTTCTGTTCAGTCCACGATCGTTCGGATTTCGTCTATCATTTAATTTCGATTTTTTACAGCCGATCAAAGACAAATTTTAAGGATCAAAAATCGGCACTTCAACTTTGCAAGGCCGCCATTTTGTCAAAAAAAAAAAAAAAAAAAAACCGAACGATCAAGGACTAGTTTAACACATACTTAACGATTTGGCATGGTTTTTTTTATTTCAGATGATTACATCACAAACTGCAGTTGGCACCGCAAAAAGCGTTTTTTAGAACATCGTCCACGGGGAGCAGCCGTGCGGGGCACCAGGACCTCGTTTTTACAGCATCGACTGATAAATGTACCATTTAATGTGTTTTCAATAAACGGCAGAAAACCGATTTTCAATATGTTGCGTCGTTTTCGAGAAAAAAAAAATCCAAACTTTCGCTTTTTTCGGTCTTGCAGGTAGGTGTAACCCCTTAAAGCGCCAGTTACACTATCCTCCTTGTGAACATATTGACATGTGTAACGTCCGATTTAGATGTAGTCATTGTTGCCGGTATTCCAGATTTATCTAGATTTTCCAGATTTTCAGTCGTCTAGCCAGATACACAGACAGATCTTGTTTATATCCAGATTTTTTATATATGTTCCAGATTTTCCCATGTGTTGCTTTATAAATATAACTGCAGATTTTAAAATGTGTTGCTTTATAAATATTTTTTTTTTTTTATTATTATAGTCACTTTAACACTCTTGGGTCATTCGTGACTTGTCCGGGGGTGAGATTTGAACTCGTGACTTTGACGTGAGAGGTATGGATGTTAACCACTACGCCGGGGTCGCCCCCTTCTTTATAAATATAACTGCAATTAATGGATCCTCTAATCAAAAAATAAAAGACCAAACTTACTACTGCCTATATTTTTTTTAGAATCCTGAATTTATAAAAATCAATGTTTGAATATGGAGGATTTTTCCTAATTTTGGAATTTTGAGAAATCGAAAACTGTTCAGGATTGAAAACAATAAATTGAGCTTTGGAAAATTAGCAAGGCTTTTGAATCTAGACAACCACCAGGACTTTGAATTATGTTCGTGATATTTTTGAGGATAATTAATTAGAATTTTTTAATAGAATTTTAAAGTACCTGTGAATATTGAGTTACCTTCTTCTTCTTCTTCGTCGTATTTCAAGCTTATTGCTTATCGCAAATTAGATTATTACGTGCTCTCAACTTAGTGTTCTAGATGCACTCCCACAGTTATTAATTGAGAGCTTTCGATGCCTGGTACCATTTTTGCATTAGTATAATTGTGTAGCAAGAACAATCACAACTCTACGCCCAGGGAACTCGAGAAATTTTCCAACCCGAAAAATTCCTAGGCCGGACCGGGAATCGAACCCAGCCACCTCCAGCATGGTCTTGCTTTGTAGCTGCGTCCTTACCGTCTGAGCTAAGGGAGGCCCCAATTGAGTTACCTTAGCAGTCTGAAATACTTTAGAATTCTGAATTGCCCTTGATTTCAGAATTTTAAGGTAATTCTGTAAATAGTTTACAGTGAAGTGTAAGTATGCAGTCAGTGCAACCTTTGATTGATGTGAAGACGGTTTAAATTGTCTTTTGCAAACTCTGATGACAATTGTATGGAGAATTTGTGAAGAAAGGAAATAATTAGAATTCGGAAGAGAAATCGTAGACAATTCTTAAGATGAAACTTAAGGAGAATGCTGATATGAATCGTGAGAATAATTTCAATGGAATTCTGTCCAATGTTTCTAGGGAGATTAGGTTTTATCAAGGAAGACTTTCAAGGCTATTTTGGCAAAGTACTTGAGTGCTTAGAGTATACTGAAGAGGATTAGTCTGAGAAGAATGTGATGGTCATTCTGAAGAGCGTACCAAGGAA